GGAGGGGGTTGGGGTGGGGTGGGGTGGGGGATATTTGGAGGTTAGGCACAAGTCAGGATTTGAAATTATGTTGGGATTATAATAAAGTTTGTTGGTTTCTAAATTAATAATTTGTACTGAATTCGGCTGAACCAGTACTAGCCCATGCTCTAACTCTGTGTCGTGGTCAGCGGCGGATTTAGGGGGGGTGTAAGGGGTTCATCCGAAACCTCTTTCCCGGAAAATTACATTACACATATAAGGCAAAATCCGTTTTGTGTCTCTATATATTATATTTTGAACCCCTTTGAAATAGTCTAAAGTGTAGCTCAGTAGTCACGTAGATTCAAAGTCTTTTGTAAAGTTATTGATTTTATTCTCATAGTGATTACCAGGGGTGTATGAGAAATGTGTATCCAGGCATCTTAGCACACAAATAAAAGTTTAACGAGATCGTTGGGATCAATTCACTGTTGATCTGAGATTGTAAGTTTAGTCTTTTAAAATTAAGAATCCATTAGAACCGTAATACCTTTTAATGAGCGTATTTGAAAATTTCGAATTAATAAGATTAGTGAACTTTATAATCAATGATTAAAAAAGTTTTGTGAACATGGAGACCGTGTCACATATATATCATGATAGTGTACTCATTATAACTCCACATCATTCATGTCTCCATCATTCCTATTTTACTCACAAACAAGACCGCCAAGTCCCTTCATATTAGCTACGGTCACAGCGCTAGCTGCTAGCTGTTGTGTAGGTGTGGGGAAATTTGTGTTTGAAGAAAAGATTGATACAAATATAGTACTTATATCATACTCATAGCATAGACAGATTTCATGTTTAATTATATATAAAAAAAACATTAACCATTGGCAAATCCGAGAAGGACATGTTTGTTGTGCTAACACGACCCAAAGATATTTTTAGTACGGTGTGATATTATCTACTTTGAGTCAAGCTCGTACAGGCTTTCCCAAAAAATCTCACGCTATTAAGAGATCCCTATACCTTATATGTATACTTTCAATCTTTCAGCTATCAATGTAGGACTTTGTTCACACGACCAACAATCTCTCCTCGAACTAAGTTTCACGTGACCCACTATTAGGATTAATTCATAAGTCTCCCCCTCCAACTAAGTTCCACGTGACCCATTACTACAATCCTAAGTTCGACGGGACAAGTATAGAGATAATAAAGTGATGGTATGGAACGGCGCGTACATCAAAAGAAGCTAGTTGCGGGTGGCTGTCGCCCTAAATCAACGTTTGTGCTGCGTTATACCTAGACAAATATCCTTCCACTTCTGCCTTAAGACTGCTTCCTTTGTTTCTTCTTTCTTAACTTTACCTTTTCTTCTCACAAAATCAATTTTGATAGAAATTTTTGCTGGTTGATATCGATTCGGATTAGTCGGCTCCGATGCGCATATTGGGTACTAAGTGAGAAATCAAAACAAAAAAGAACTAAAGATGGTAGTAATACTTAGCCACATCTTTCCTCTTTCTTTTTCTTAATATATATTACTTCATTCGTCTCAGTTTAAAAAAAGAATTGATTTTTTTAAACTTAATTATAATCTAAACTAAGCCTTAAAATTGATGTGGCTATATATTATCTCACTAAGAATCAGGGGCGTATCTGGGGGGGGGGGGGGGGTTGTTCCATGGGGCACATGAACCCATGCTCCCATCCCTAAATCATATATACTGTTACGTGACGCCTTCCTGAGATTCCTTGGAAGGGCGACGTAAGGCTAAGAAACTGATTCAGTGTAGTTACTATCTGCCAACTGAGGTCCTCTCCGTACGCTAGACGAGATTGTCAGTGTCGTACGGGAAAACCAATGTCAAGAGTAATTGAGAGAACATAAATGAGAATTGAGAATGAAAGAAAACTTGATTACATTAATGAAAGCTATTAGAGAAAAAGAACCACGGTGTCGAGGGGGAGAGACACCAGTACAGAGAATTGCTTGCTTGCTAGAAAGTTTGATTGCTTAATCCCCCCTAATAGTATTTAAAAAAATAAATCAAAGTTACAAGACCAGACCTAACTAAGCTAGAGAAATATAATGGAAGTACAAGAAATAAAACTACTCTATATTTACAATGAAAAGGACTTAGTTTTCTACAAGGTAGAAACAGGTCCGTTGTCAGCAACTTTGTCTTTGGTATCACGGTCTGCGCGCACGATGCTATTGGTATTTGCCTGCAGCTGGGCACTAGCGAAAGATATCGGTGGGGTGACAGAGGCACATGCGCGCTTGTTACTTGGCGCAGCCAAGACCACGGTGTCGTCCGTAGCGCTAGGCGTTGGGAGGCTTGCTAGGACGCGACGGGGTGCGTCCAAGAGGTCGTGGGACATGGCTGAAAAGCTGCCCATGACATTCTCCCTCACCCGAGTTGGCGACGTCTTCGACGCCTTACTTACAAGATAATCATCAATTAGGATCTTCTAGGCTTTGAGGTTTGTTCCCCTCTCCCAAATATTCTCCTCTGCATCATAGCCCTGCCATTTCACCAAGAACTCTTGGTGATCTTTCCTTGAGGCGTAAATCACTCGATCATCAAGAATAGCTTCACGCCTTTTTCCCATTGAATTGGGGCTCGAATACTTTGTATTGTAGTTGGCTCAGTGAAGGATCCTCCATGTCTTCCCGAAAAGGTTTCAGAAGTCTAACATGGAAGACGGGATGGAAGCTGGGGTATCCACCCGATATGCAACTTTCCCAATGCGCCTTTCAATAGAAAAGGGTCCAGTGTATTTTTGTAACAGGCGAGGGTCATGGACCCCTGCAAACAAGTATCGCTTTGGAATTTTGACCATAACTCTGTCTCCTACTTGGTATTCAACAAAGCGACGATTTTAATCAACATGCTTCTTCATCCGCTTTTGGGCATTGATAAGATAGCTCCGCACTATATCTAAATTTTGCTTCCATTTTTTTTGAGAAGCTAGCATATTGAAGAGATTTTGACATGTTTGGTGCATTCACTGTGTGTAGGAGTAGCAGTTGATGTCGGTAACAATTTCAAAAGCGATTTTGTTTGTACTAGAGCTCTTTTGTGAATTGAAACACAATTGAGCATCATCCAGAAGCTTCACCCAGTTCTTCTGCGATCCAGTTACAAAGAGGCGGAGATATTCCTCCAGCATGCCATTGAACCGCTCTGTCTGGCCATCAGATTACGGATGAAAACTTGAGCTGTGACTCAGTTTTGACCCGAGGCACTTAAAGAGTTGGGTCCAAAAGTTGCTAGTGAAGTGTGAGTCGCGATCACTAACAAATGTCTTTAGGCAGGCCCCAATATTTGACGACAAGAGAGAAGAAAAGTCGAGTTGTATCCTCTGTTGAGATGTATTTTAGGGCTGCTATAAAGGTAGCATACATGGAAAACCAATCCACCACAACCAAGATAATTGTAAGATCTCCGACCTTGGGTAATCTGGTGTTGAAATCTAGGGAAACACTTTCCCAAGGTCTCTTTGGGAAAGCTAGTGGTTCCAAGAGTCCCGCTCGTGTCAAGCGGTCCGACTTGTCCTTCTGGCAAACTAGACAAGTTTCCACATACTGAGTGACGCCATCGGCCATTTGAGGCCAATAATATGCACGACTAAGTAATTCCATGGTGCGGTCTTCACAGGGATGGCCGACCCACAAAATATCGTGACATTCCATCAGAAGAGTTCTTCGCAGATCTCCTCCTTTATGAGCATAAAGTCGGTTCCCTTTCACTTTCAGGAAACCATTTTCCATGTAGAACTGGCGAGTCTTGCTTTGTCCTTCCAAATCAACCAAATACTATGCAGTAGGATCCTTGATGAGTAGATCCTGTATCTAGTCTTTGATGGTGGTGGCTACTTTGCTCCCCCTTAGGGTGGCGAGTAGGCACACCGATGCTAGATCAGCTCTCTGACTAAGTGCATCAGCAACATGATTGGTCTTCCCACTTCGGTACTCCAGGTTGAAGTGGAATTCCGCTATGAGTTCTTGCCACCTGGCCTGTCGACTATTCCGCTTCGGCTGGGTCATGAAATGGCTAATAGCTGTGTTGTCTGTCTTGACCATGAATGGGGTTCCCAGCAAATAGTGCCTCCAAAGGCATAAGCAATGGATGATATCCAATAATTCTTTCTCGTGGGCGACATAGCGCCGCTTTGCATCCTTCAGCTTTTGGCTCTCGTACGCTATAAGATGCCCTTTTTTTTAGAAAGACTCCGCCAAGGGCATAGTTGGTGGCATCCGTTTGTACCTCGAATGGCTTGGCCAAATCAGGAAGGGCCAAGACGAGGCTACTAGACATAGCCGCTTTCAA